CACAACAATATCCTTGCTACTAAATGAATGATTTGATCATTCATAAATAAATAAGTTGAAGGCTTGAGTCATGGTTTTTTACTTTCTGAAGATAAAATGCGACAGCAAAGAGTAAACCTGCTCCTGGAGTGTGCTCCTGGACCATGCGCTTATCAACTCTGAAAAGCATGAGAGAGGCCACCAAAACTTTATTCTTTTTAATATATACACAAATTGATTTAGTGAAAAAAGAAACTGCATCGAAAAAATAATTTCATACTCCTAAATCAATTTATACCATGACCACTACTCTATTCAATTTCACGCATCATTAGTTGTTCTTCAATCACATATTTCACAAAAAGAAATGAAAAGAAATAGAAATAAAGGCGACACCTGGAGATGCTCCAAGCCAAAAAGCGGCGATGAATACACGCTGGTACTGGTAGGCTTGTATTCATAGGAATACAATAATAAAAAAACACCCGAGAATATTGGGAAAAGAATTGTTTTAAATGAGCAGCACAGCTGGCTTGATTAATCAAAGCAATGCTGAAAGGGACCACTACCGATTCGCCGTGTGAATTTTGAAAATTCTCCAGATCACACAGCGTGCCTACGTGAAGAGGATCTGTGGACCCTTTCAGGCAAGTCAGTTACAATATAACAAATAAATTTCATTGAGTAATAAAGCACTGGGACTATCCCCAGTCGAAGTGCAGCTAGTACAAGACGACATATGATCAGCAACGTCGGCTCGGGGCAAACAAGCCGTGCATCATGGATGTTACCGAAAGCAAACCATATTTTAATCCCTCCAAGGTAATTCTACGCCTCCATGAGCTATCGCTAACCAACCGCAAAGCAGCAGAAGATTTCGTTGAAACCAGGTGGCCGGATTGTTAATTGTTTTTCCTTGCGCCCCTCGATTCCGAATTGATGGAGCCTCATCCATTCTTCTCTAGGAACTCCATGTTCGTCTCCGGGTATGGCTCCGGGCACAGGTACCTAGGCGCGCTAGAACGTTTCAGAACGCCGCACGAGCACGCGGCAACTTTCGCGGTAATTCGAGAGAAGGCGCAGCGTGGGGGAGCGAAAGAGATTACACGATGGAGCGGAGGTTGAGGGACTTGAGGAACTTGAGGAATCAAGCGAGGCGAAGATAACGTCGTGACCATGGCGAAGCGGCGTGCACGAAGCGCCGCCTCATTACCGCGCCGCCGCCGCCGGCGGGAGCGGCGGGGGCAAATGGCAGATCCTTGGGGGCTTTCTCGTGCTTCCACAGGTCCAGGCCGCTCATCTCCATGGCTGCGCCTCGTCTTCCGCCGCCATGGGGGGATTGACTCACTCGACCGGGAATCCGGGATGTGTCGTGGATGTTGGGAGCGTGGAGGCCGAACCGCCGAAGGGAGGGGCATGATCGCCTTGCTCGGAGTCGGTGTTCGGTCGCTCCTTTATAGTATATTTGGGTGATACTCTATTTCTAATTAGTTGGCTCCTTTATAGTATATAGTATAGGATAGATACGTCAAAATTTCATCGAAGCACGTAAATTAGTATTGTGAAAAATAAAGCAAACATATAAAGAAAATCGTTTATTTTTATTTAACCATTAATCATAACATCAATTGTGCTATGCGCCGAGATACATATAATGTCGACGAAATATAGTCGGCAGTCCACCGAGGGGGTGCCCGTGGTGGTAGATTATCGGTAGGATGCGTGTAATCAGGAACCAGATGGTTACAGAGACACAAAGACACAAGATTTATACAGGTTTAGGCCGCCAGTGTGGCGTAAAACCCTACGTCTTGTGCTCTGTTATTCTATATTGATTGAGGTGAGATCTGTATGATTTGTATGGTCTTGTCCGTTAGGGGACCCTTGCTCCTCCTTATATATTCGAAGGGACAAAGTTACAAATACAGCATCCAATTTGGTATAATTATAATATAATGTCGTGCTCCGCACGTCTTCACCTTGCGGGCTGGGCTACTTCCGGTGGTGCGGCCCATGTATACCCATGAGGGTATAGGGGGTCTATTCCCTCACAGCTAGTCCCCGAGCGCCTTGTATCTTTCGAGTAGCGTCGTCTTGAGCTTGCCAGAAGGATGTAAGGGGCTCAAGATAAAATTTGAAAAATATTTCCCTCGAAGTGTGCCCACTTTGAATCTAAGTCAAAAAGAGACACCGTTGTCCTTGTAGAATCGGAGGTGTTTGAACTATTAGAGCGAGCACATTCAGCGCAAGGTGAAGTGTGCCCACTTAGTCCCCGAGCCTGGTAGTAGGTGACGTAGGCACGTGGTGCCAGGGTCTAAAAAGAATTCCCAGTTAAGTTGAGAATCCAATCGTCGTATAGGCGATACAAGATGCACCGGCAGGTGCATCGTACCGATGTAGTCCCCGAGCTTGCTGGAAGGTGAGGTATGAGCCTTGTAGCAAGGTCTAAACGAGAAAGAATATCCCAACTATATGCGAGTCGCCAGTCGCATGTAGTTGAGATGCAAAGTCCCCGAGCTGTGGTCGGAGAGTGGTCGAGGCAGTCCCCGAACACAGGTCGAGGGCGAGCGGCAGAGTCCATGAGCTGTGGTCGGAGAGTTATCGAGGCAGTCCCGAGCACAGGTTGAGGGGCGAGCGGCGAAGTCCTCGAGCTGTGGTCGGAGAGTTGTCGAGCGATCGAGCAGAGTTGAGGCGGCGGCAAGTCCCCGAGCACAGGTTGAGGCGGCGGCGAAGTCCCCGAGTGTGGTCGGGAGAGTGGTCGAGGCGATCCCGATCACAGGTCTAGGGGCGAGCGGCGAAGTCCCCGAGCGTAGCTCGAGATCTCTGCAATATAAATATATAGAACTGTAGTATATGATGTACAAAATAATAATTTATGGACAAAAATAAACAGTAAAGAAATAGCGTATGACGCTCAGCAGTCATTTGCAAAAGAGCATGATGTGATAAAGCAGTTGGTGCTTTGTAAACATCAATGTTAAAATGAAGTTTGTGTTTATACTTTATATAAACCGCCCACCCGATTAGTATGTAGCGAGCCTCCAGCCCTAGCTAGCTTCATTCATGTGGCGTGGGCGTGGAGCCCGTGTGCGTGTAGGAAGGCGTCGCTAAGGAGCCGCGCAACGCACCACGTAGCGCGAAGGCGGGCGCTCATCATACATGCGTGGAGAGAGCCGATGAAGCGGGGCGTTTTCGGAGACATCGGCGTCAACATGACTGGTCGAGGATTTGCATTAAGTATAGCTGTATGTTATCTTTAAGATGATATACATGGACAAGCGTTATTTGAAGAATAATTATGACGAGGACGTTGTGGAGAAACATCGTAATAAAAATTGTGTCAAATATAAATATTAGAAGTGTACTTTTCTTTGGATAGAAATCTAGTCGATGGCGATAAAGTTGTCCGGCCCTCGTGCTTTTCGGCCTGTTGTGACGGTGGTCGCGGTTGTCATAGCGCCGTTCTTCGCGGCGATCATCATTGCGACGTGGTCTGGTGGTCGGAGCTCAGTGGAGCCGCTCGGGACGTGGTCGACGTGGTCCGTGGTCGATGTGGTCAGAGCTTGGCGGAGCCGCCCGAGACGTGGTCGACGTGGTCCGTGGTCAACGTGGTCGGAGCTCGGCGGAGCTGCTCGGGACGTGGTCGACGTGGTCTGTGGTCGACGTGGCTGCTCGATCAGTTCGGTGGTCGGAGGGCTTTGTCGTCACAAAACGCGTCGACGTCAAGTCTCATCAGGTAGTCAACGAAGGCCACCGCGATCAGCAGGCCGTGCTCATTCGCACACGTAGAAACTTGTGCACATCCTGGTAGCCTCTGGATCGAGTAGTCATTGGATGAAAGCAGCTAGCATGTACGTGGTGATACATATACACGTATATGCATGATTAGCTTGCATGCCTTCTATCTCGCTCCTTCCTTATTGGCTTGTTGTTCGTTCGGCTGACTCGTTGAAGTAGGTGGATACGCCGGGTCGGAGCTCTAGTTTCATGGACGCATCTGGGTCTTGAATCGTCGAGAACCCAGCCGAGACTTGGTGCCGCCGCCTGACTCGGAAGCCAGTACTTGGGCGCAGGCTGGTCTACTGCAAGTCGAAATCGGACTCAGCTGGCGCGACAGTTGTACCTCGTATGCATGGTGCTGTAGATGCACGTGGTCAGTGTTGACTTCGGAAGCAATCCAGGAGAGCCAGAAGTTGATCGGTCAAGCCGCTACAAAGCGTGTAGTCATGAACGCCGATGGTCACGGACCTGGGTGAAGTCCCGACACAAGCTGGAGGGTTGCCGTCGTGAAGCACGGGTAGCCGCCGTAGTAGATTGATTCCGTCGCCGAGTGATATCAAGCCTATCAGGCTTCTCAAGCATGTCGCCGTAGGAAGTCAGGTTGCCATGAGCGGCGTCGATCTTTAGATCCCATCTGGTTCGCCATAGATCAGCGCGCATGATCCCCTAAAGGAGACCCCTACCTGGCGCGCCACTATCGACGAAATATAGTCGGCAATCCACCGAGGGGGTGCCCGTGGTGGTAGATTATCGGTAGGATGCGTGTAATCAGAAACCAGATGGTTACATAGACACAAGACACAAGATTTATACAGGTTCAGGCCGCCAGTGTGGCGTAAAACCCTACGTCCTGTGCTCTGTTATTCTGTATTGATTGAGGTGAGATCTGTATGATCTGTATGATCTTGTCCGTTAGGAGACCCTTGCCCTCTTTATATATTCCGAAGGGACAAGGTTACAAGTACAGTATCCAATTTGGTACAATTATAATATAATATCGTGCTCCACACGTCTTCACCTTACGGGCTAGGCCACTTCCGGTGGTGCGGCCCATGTATACCCGTGAAGGTATAGGAGGTCTATTCCCCACATATAACAATAACGGTATATGGGTGACACAACATTGACCGACGTGACAAGACACCCTGTCACACGAGAGGACCGAGACACTTGGACCATAATACACAGCCCGAGCGCGACAATAGCTTGTGCGACGCGACCTTGAACGAACAGCGAAATCCTTAGCCAGAGATCTCGACGCTCTTCACCTCGGGCTTCTTGACCTCGGCCTTAGGCACGGTGACCGTGAGCACGCCGTTCTTCAACCCAGCCTTCACCTCCTCCGTCTTGGCGTTCTCCGGCAGCCGGAACCGCCTCATGAACCTGCCGCTGCTGCGCTCCACGCGGTGCCACTTGTCGTTCTTGTCCTCCTTCTCCTTCCTGCGCTCGCCGCTGATGACGAGCACGTTGCCGTCCTCCACCTCCACCTTCGCGGCCTCCTTCTTGACGCCGGGGATGTCGGCCTTGAACACGTGCGCCTCGGGCGTCTCCTTCCAGTCGATGCGGGCGTTGGCGAAGGCCGCCGTGTCGCGGCCCGTCGACGATGCCGCGGCGGGCACTACGGAGCGGAAGACGTCGAAGGGGTCCCAGAAGTCGGCGAAGGGTCGAACACGTTGGTCTTTAAGGCTGACGAGCGACATTGTCGTCGGTTGGGTTTGCTGAGTCTTGAGTAAAGATTTCCAACGGGCGGGCCCATCGGGCCGAGACGGCACGATGTCGATCTTGATTTGGCGATGACGAAAACGGCGGCCCGGCCCGCCTCTCCGTGCCGTGCCAAGCACAGCAGCGCGGCCCGTCTTCGATGCACGGGCGCGATGCCAGCCCGTTGGCAGCGCAGCGGCCCGCTCGAGGCGGCGCGGGGTCGGCGCGGCTTGGAGCCGTTGGATGGAGACCCCGCGATTCCTAGCCGTTGGATGTAGGGTTGGGACGAGTGGCTATATAAGCCATTGACCGCTCACAGCTCATGTTGAGCACCGAGCAACGTGTGCTCATTCTCTCCCCGCTTCGGCCGCTTCCCGATCCGCTCCAGCGCTCCGCTCCGCTCTCCTCTCTTCTTGAAACCCTAGCCACTCACTCACCCGATCTCCTCTCTTCTTCCCGCCCTCCGGTGGTTGGTGCGGCAGCAATGATGGGCATTGCACTGCAGCACGGCCTTCACCCCCTCTTCTCCACGACCGGCGATGTAGCTTAGTCGTCTCCATCTCCTCCTCGTCTCTCTCTCGTCGGTCTCGTCGACCTCGCCGGACTCCGGTGTCATTGGGGCTCCGCAAGGAGGCGTTGAGGTACCAGACGCGGATCTGGCGACGTCGGCGTCGTCGTTGCCTCTGGTGCTCCGTCAGCGAGGTGAGCTCAGATCCTTCTTTTCTTCACTTCATTTCTTTTCTTGTTCTTGATTCGGTGTTCTTCACTTCTTGTTCTTGATTGTTTGTTCTTCATCTCCTTCTTCTTCTTCTTGATTTAACCCTAGATCTGTTTCTTTTTTTTTGAAGCCGCTGGCGTTGAGGGACCGGAGGCCGGCAACGACGAGATGTCGGACGAGGAGGAGGACATCGGTCTCTCCATGACCATCAACGACGAGCTCCGCCTATGCGGGATGACCGGAGGCAGCGAGGGACGATGTCGTTGGGGATGCCGAGGAGCTCTTGACCCGTCGTCTTGCCGAGGAGCTCAACGGCGGCCTGCTCGCTGGTAACCCACTTCCCGTCGACGACGGTGATGGCTAACGCCGTCGATGCGACGCTCAAGCTCAAGCATTTGGTGATGACGGCTCAAGCGGCAAGCCTAATCGCCTTCTACCTCGGTCTGCTGGAAGAAGATTTGAGAAGCTCATCAAGAAGGTAAATGGTAAGGATGTCGGTATGGCGCGCTCGGTGTCTTCACCGCCGTAAGGAGTACTCTGCTAATTCTAAATTTGGGATCGGCCATCTTCTCCGTCATCAAGACTCTTGCCCTAAGAAGCGTGAGAAATGTCGCATGGCTCGGTCCCACATTACTTTCAATAAGGATGGTAGTGTGCGTGGTTGGGAGTATTCTGCTGAGGTTGCTCGTAAGGAGCTTGTTCGTTTGCTTGCTAGGCTAGACCTTCCCTAACGTCTTGGTGAAACGAGGCTGGGAAGATTACATAAAAACTTCATAACCCTAGGTACTCTACTGTGTCTAAGCAAACTACAGCTAGAGATCTTTTTAAGTATTTCAATTCTAAGCGTGATAGTTTGATTGAAGATTTGAAGAATAATGCCATTTCATCTGTTGCTATTACTTCTGATATTTGGTGCGAAATGCTAAAGAGGATTATTTGAGTGTTGTTGGTCATTACATTAATGCTGATTGGCAACTTGAAAAAAGGGTGCTTGGCTTAAGGCTTATAGATGCATCACATAATGCTGATAACATTGCTGAACGTGTTAAGATTGTGCTTAATGATTATGGTATATTGAACAAGGTCTTTTCTGTTACATTGGACAATGCCTCTGCTAATAATAAAGCTATGGATAAACTGAAACCTGTACTTAAGGAGTATTTAGGTTCTGATCTGTTTTTTGCATCAACGCAGCGTACTTGTCATATCATAAACTTGATTGTTAAAGAGGCTTTGGTTGTCTTGATTAGTGCTTTGATTGATGCTTTGAACTGCAATATCATGGATTAACTCTTCTAACATTCGAGTTCTTGCATATAAGAGTTCTTGCATGGCATCGTACTAGACCTAGGAAGTTTGCTTTGGACATGGATGTTAGGTGGAACTCTACATACACGATGCTTAGGCATTTGCTACCACACAAGGAAATTTTTCATACTTTCATTGAGTCTAATTATCCTAGACCTAAAGGTGGCCCCTTTCTTTTGACTCATGATCATTGGGCTATAGCAACTAAAATCTTGGAATTCCTTGAACTGCTTTTTATGACTCAACAGGCTGCTTTGTCAGTGTGTACTATCCCTCTTGCCCCACTTATGGTTCATCATATTGTTAAGATTGCTATACACCGCATAAGTATCAAAATGATGAACATATTAGAACTATTGTTCAACCTATGATTGATAAGTACAATAAGTATTGGAGAACCATACACGATCTTTCTTGCATTGCATTTATCTTGGATCCAAGAGCTAAAATTAAAGGTTTTAACAAAGTGCTTAAGAAGTTAAATGTGCTTCTTGATCTTTGATTATTCTAATAAGCCGATGCAAACTAGAACTCTACTTTTCAAGTCAGCATAAGTATGATGATTTGTATGGCTCTGTAAGGGCTAAAAAGGCTGATCCTCCAAGCCTATCTGGTAAGAAAAGAACAGCTTGGGCTGAAATATATGATGATGATGATGATGATGATGGTCTCCTGCTCTTCTTCTCTTCCTCCTAATCTTGATATGTCTAGGAGTATGCCTCACTCTCGTTTTGTTACATGCGCCAAGTTCTTCTAGCGATGATTCTTGAATCTATGCCTTATCTGGATTGTGACACGGTGAGCCGATGGGATGATGACTTCAACATCCAGAATGGTGGCATCGTCATAAGCTAACATATCCAGTTTTCTACCCTTGCTAAAGATGTTTTCGTTGCTGCTGTTTCTACCATTTCCTCGAAGCTACTTTCGCCGCTGGCGGGATCATTGAAGAAAGCGGCGGAGGCTAAACCACGAGGCTGTGGAGGCACTCACATGCATCAAGGACCTCTTTGAGTCAAGGCTACAACATATGGTGGAGGATAAGGAGCTCGAGGAGGCCTTTGAAAACCTTTATCTTGATTAGTCATTCATTTATGTAATGGTGGACTTGGACTTGGATGCTTTGGACTGTGGATTGGATTTAATGAACAATTGGATTAAACTAAGGGTTGGCTGCACTCTTTTTCCCTGTCTTTAGGTTTCTCACAAGGTGAGTTTTACAGGCGAGGTTTTTTAATCCGACCATTGCACGTCCTTTTATTTCATATTCTGCGTGTGTTCTCTTTTTTCTTTTGCTTTCTTCAAATTTGAATTTGATCATTGAATTGTCTTCTTTGTTTGTGAACATTTTAAGTGTTATTGAGGTTTTAGTGCCCGGCACGACTAATCGGCGGCGGGCAGCCTTGTGGCGCGACGAAGACTCTGACTCCTTAGTGCCGTGCACAGGCAGGCGGAGTGGTGGCAGTCGCATTGCACTACGCAAGGGATGCGAATAGTGCGTTGATAGTGCTGCGCCTGACGAGCGACATTGTCGTCGGTTGGGTTTGCTGAGTGCTGAGAGAGACTGTGGATGGATTGCTGAAGTGCTTGTTCGCAGCTGGAGCTACTTGTATCGCTAAGCTTTTGCTTTGATCTGTGTTGATAAGGTGCTGGGAGCCTGGGAGTGAGGCAGAGTATTTATAGGTTCGTTAGAACGAATCTTGAATGCTCTCGACTTCTCTTGTTTCGCTCTGGACTGTTCTGGTAGTCGCTTTATTTTGTTTTGCGTCATCAATTACTCATTTTCTTTCTTCATTCCGGTCTAGAAAGGAACACGATGCTCTAGAGTAGTCTGGTGCTTCTTCTTGGCAGTTGGCACTCTGCTTTATCTTTATTTCCCATCCGCAAGCCCGCGCAACTACTTTGATCTGATCATCTGGAAAAACCAATAGACCGGTGTCATGTTTCTAAGATCAATGTCCAATGGGTTTGGTTGGCAAGGAAAATCGAGGCGAATGATTGGCGGACGACGGTGTGTGGCCCCGATGCCGGAATGGGCACCGCTTGTCCTTCTCGATGGTAGCCTGCCACTTCAGTGGTTTGCTACGACCACATTCTTTGCATAATTGCATCGTGTTACTGTGGTACTGGAGCTTGTTTGTTTCTTTTTGCTAATAAAAGAAAAATGCACTGAATTTGTAAATCGCTATGGAGATGTTTGCTTCCTAGAAATTTTACATTTCACGGGGGAATAAAACACATCGAAGTTTTTTTGTTGATTCATTGCTTGTGGCTCAACAAGTTTTTAAGGTGTTTTTAATATTTACATGGATCACTAGATTTTTACACTTGAGAGGTCTCTAGAGGTTTGTTTCAATGCTTGATGCCAAATCATTTGGTACATAATGAATGTCTGGTAGGTAGCAGCTTATTTAGCTAGGAGTAGTTACATTTGGGCACCAGCGAATCTATATAACCTATTTAAAAACAAGAGACCTATTTTAAAACAAGAGAGCGCCCGACCAAAACGGCTAGGTAGCCTGGCCACGGCAGTAATTTGTTTACACCTTTGGATGGACATTGGACTTCTGCATTGACTCGGTGAAAAAAGTATCTGTCTTTTGTGTCCTCTCTCTTGACGCCAAAACTTTCTGTCCTCTCTCCCAAAAACTTTCTCTGCATCGGCCCGGTGGAAAAATCTGCCTCTCTCCCTCTCTCCTGACGTGCTCTTCCCGTAGCATTCCCCCATAAAAACTGGTATTTTTTCAAAAAAATGTCCCACCTTTGGATGGACATTGGACGTCTGCATTGGCTCGGTGGAAAAATATCTGCATCTTTTCTGCCCTCTTTCCTGACACAAACGAAACGGCTCTCCATACCTAAAATCTAAGGCTCTCTCCATTCCTCTCTCTCTCTCTCAGGATGTCAGGCAGGCTCCAAGCACAGTGGCTCTCAACTCTGCAGAGCAGTTGAAAAAAACTACCGCCCACCCAC